TCAGAAGTTTATTGATGTAATATAAATGAGTGCTGAATTGCCCTGCCTGCCTCCCCTCCCCCACTATGCTTATTAACAAGACAAGGAAGACAGTGGAAAAGTCAAGCACCAGTATCTTAGGAAATATGTGTGGGCTACTCTTCACATATTAACAGGGTCTGATTTCCTCCATAAATTCAGGGAAGTTATCTTTACCAGCCCCTTGTGCCTAAATACTCATACCACACTGGACTCTTATAAGGGTATACCCACTATTCTTGACAACCTTAATTGGCACTGTATTAGGGTTTTGCCATTGATGAGTTATACCTTACAGCAATTCTCCAGGAACCACTAAAGTCCACTTATTTTTTTTAAGATTTTATTTATTATTCACAAGAGACAAAGAGACATAGGCAGAGGGAGAAGCAGTTTCCCTGTGAGGAGTCCAATGTGGGACTGGATCCCAGGACCCGGGATCATGTCCTGAGCCAAAGGCTCAACCACTGAGTCACCCAGGTGTCCCACTAAAGTCCACTTTTAAGCCATGTTTTTGAGACTCATGCTTGAGATCTATTTGACCCTCAAATACCTATATTACAGAGCTCCCCAAAATACCTAAGTGAAGAGGAGAAAAAAATGCATTGGTTGTCTACAGCAATGCCCATCTTGAAAGTATGGGAGATAAGCAAAACTATTATCACGATTTGCCTGTGTCAGAGATCTAAAGTATCCTAATGTGTAACTAGCATGTTCCTCAGTTTTGTGTTTCTGGAATTTCTGTAGCAAATTTCAGATCAAGGCCTAATATACATATGTGCCTCAGGCATGAAGTTAGGCCTGGTAGAAATGTATACTGACTCTTTACAGGCATTATTTTCTTCGCTCTTGATATAGCATAGAGAATTTGTAACCAAAACCATAGTCAGAGAACTAAAAAAAATCAGTGACTATTTATAAACCAGTCCATGAATATTCATTCTAATGACTATATAGTAATCAATTAGTATACACAGAAAGAACAATATGAAATCCGAGGCTGCAGATTGCAGAATTGAATAAATCCTCATTTTTAAATGACATAACTATAGATAATACATTTCCCTTCTGGATGAAAATTCATTTTATTTCCCCTGGTACAATACATATAAAGAAGAAATACACAAAAGGCAAAAATGGGACCTAAGTGTTCGTTCCTACATATACAGGTCAAGAAAGGCATTACTCACATAACTGGAGAGTAAACACTGCCTTGTTTGCTTAAGATTGAAAAATAAATAAAAATGTGAGTTTGTCGAATTTCCTAATGTTTTATACAGCACAGCAAGCCTTTAAAAATACACAATAATGCATTAATCCAGTAGTAGTGAAAGGTTTAATGAATTTTCTGGTTATTTCCCAAGTTTACCTTTCAAAATACCAAGTGGTATATATAATGTGTTGTGGTAAGTCGAATTATAAGTGTGATGCTTCAACTAAATCGTGGCCAAAACCAAAATGTCAATCAGGATGAAAAGCTTCTAAATACAAATTAAGCTGAAACTATCAAAAATATAAAACAGAGTAACCGTAGTGTTGCTGATTTAAAATGATCACTGATGAAACCTTTCCTATAATCAATAAGACATTTGCCGTATCTTTTTCAGAACTATCTTAAGTTACGCGTTACTTCGCCCTTTAAGCGTCCGAAAGCTTTAATGAAGGAACACGTAAAAATAACAGCAACAGGGTCAACACAACTTCAACGCAATGCTCAACAAAGTGCACGTGTGTGTGTAGACACACGAGCGTGCATGTGCTTGCAGACACACATGCAGATCCTACTCCAGACCTAAAATGGCTGAGTTGCAGGATGTTGTTGCTTGGTGACCAAACAGTATCTCCTCAGCCACAGAGTAATTTAAACAGTGACAGATACGTCCCCTCAGCTTTAGGCATGGCCAGGGCAAATATTAAAGGGTATGTTGATCTTTTCTAGTATTTCACATTTTCATTTGAAGTCAGTTGTCACCTGCTTGATTTTATCCTCAATTAAATTTAGATTTTAGGGGAAAGAGTATTTGCAAAGCTGCGGCTATCCTTTTAAAGAAAATAAGAGGTAGAACCCAGCTCCTTTCGTTCTGAAAGTCCTGTTTCAATTAAGTCTACGTGGTGTGTCTACTCTGTTCTGGTACAATCTCCCAGTTGCTATTTATCAGTCTCCCTTTCTTTCATTAAACATCAGCAGTTAATTAGCCCCAGCCTGTCCTCTTCCCTTCTCTCTGTCCCTTTTCAAGGTAGTAATGATGTTTAATTACCAGCAGCAGTGGGTTCTTGCAACATCAGGCGCAAACCTCTCTCACTGACAGCACAGCCAGCCGCAAACCCTCAAACCTCAAATAGCTGGAAAGATTCTCAGTCTATTTGAAATCACAGCACTTTATCTCAACCAAGCTACGCCTTTGACCTCAAAAAATATATATTTTCTGTCTTTCTGGTGACTGTACTCCCGCTATTATAAAGAAAACCTTATTTTTAAGGAAGAAATCATTGGAGATGCGGAGAAACACATGATAAAAGGGGAACCTTTTATTTATTTTTTAACTTGTTGAAATGATGATTGGCTGTCTTTCAGGGAAGGCGGAGCCTATAATTCTATGTAAGGAGCAGCATAAAATTTTCATAAAGAGCAACAGAAGAGTTCATGAATTAAAAACCTCTTCAACATTTCAAAACAGGCTTGAATGGAAGAGCGAAGCTCTTAAATACTACATGGAAACCACTATCTAAGAATATCACCTGATGAATTACATTTTCTCCCATAAATATATAGAATCTCTACTGAAAAGGGAAACATGTGTTACCTTATTATTAACCGTGGAGTTGTCATTCTACATTAGATGTCTTAGCAATAATTCTGTAACAACTCTGCATAAATTTTTGAATGAAAATACGGGTATCTGAACATGTGAATACTGGTTTGAATTACTGGCACCCATAGTTCTCCTAGTGCCTCTATAGCTGTTACACAATTTACGTTACTTAGAATTTTTAATTAATGTTTTTAAAGGTCACATCTGTTTATACACATAGTGGACGTGATCAAACCCCTGCACGTATAAATTGGACCAATACGCAAGTGAAGTTATCTGACAGGTAAACAGAGGAACTTGATTTTAACATAAAAGGAATGAACAACAAACTTCCCAGCTAGCAATTGTTTTTGAAAAACATACACAATAGTATTTAATAATATATAAGTAAACATACCTCAAATGATCATTTTACTTATTCAATTAGCCCAGTGGTGCCCCAAAGAAAATACATTCTTATGTTTTGAATCCCAATCTAAGTTATTTTTTAAAATCAGGGTAAGTTCCTTCTGATACAAATGAGTCAAAGCACTTCATTCTCTACAACAGACTTCTGGCTCATCCAGATGTAAATAAACCTCAGTTCTAATCCATAAGCGTCTAGTCCTCATTATTTAGTAAACCAAGACAGTAATCTCACCATTGTCTTTAGCAATGCCACGTTAAGGGAGAAGGCTGTGTTTATAGATCTATCTCCCAGAAAATTCCAACAATAGTACTTAAAAAAAAAAAGCAGAACTTTTATTTGTGTTTCTATTTCACCTTTATTTCCTCTTCCCATTTTCCAAATAAATTCCAAAAGAAATATACTTCCTTCAAACAACTATCCCTAATTAATCTTGGGAAACCATTAACTATTTTCCAAACCTACAAGAGTCCTCCAAAATAGTCCTCTGAAAAACCTTTCATGCACATATTTCCAATTTAATATACCTCCGCTTGAGACAGAAGAATAGCTTGCAAGACATCTCCTTCCTAGCATCCTCCAGGAATATTGCACGGGAAACAGTTGCCAGTAAGGGGGCGGGGTGGGGGGGGGAGTAGGAAAAGGAGCAAATGCTCAAGAAACCCCAAAGCCAGGCAAAAATGCAAAGGATGCCAAATACCCTCCCCCACCCCTGCTCCTAGGCGAGTACCCACCGTGGCAAGACGAAGAAAGAGGTCTTAGGGATCTGATCTGCAATCCTACTTGTAGCCCTCAGTTCCCATCTTCTCAAAAAGGAAATTGACGCTGCCGCCGCTGCCCAACCTCACAGGCTTGTGCCCTGCGAGGCTGGGATACACTAGGTTCTCGGCGCCCAGGACCTCGCTAGCTGCGCCCGGGCTTGCAGCCGCGTGGCCGTGAAACTAGAGCCATCCCAGAACCGGGAACACACACATACACCATTTGATTTGATCGCGCCCAAACCCATGTCTCTTTGTTGTTCATCATGTAGCTGCGGCTTTATTTACGAAAGGGGGAAGTGAGGAAGGGGATGGGGGGCGGGGAGGAGGAATCTCCAGGACCTTATCTGCAATCGAAATAGTCGTGGCAAGATCTCTGCGAGTGATCGAGGCGACGGGATAGCCCCGTGTCTCCCAGGCGAGGGTCTAACAATAAAACCTGATAGTGTCCGGGGGCGGGGGTGCGGGGGAGAGCAAGGAACGGGGGGGGAGGGGGACAGAACCCCACATCCCTGACTAGCGGCACAATCGGGCTTTGTGCCAATTAGGAGACACTGGAGACGATCGATCAGAATCGTCTGTTATCAGAGCGTGCGTCTGGGGTTCCAGCGTGGCCTTTCTGCTTGGTGGCGAGAGCGGGACACGCGCCCGGCGCCCGGCGCCCAGCGAAGGACCTGGGACAATGGGCCAACCCGAGGACGCGCGGGAGGCCGCCCGACGCGGGGATGGAAGCTCCGGCAGAGGGCTCAGGAGCCCGGAGGCGAGGAGGGCGGCGAGCTCCGAAGGTGCGCTGCCGCTTTAAAATAAAGGACCACAAAGACTCCACTGCGAGGGAAACGCGCCTGGTTAAGGCGAGCGGGGACGACTTGGGGAGGGGGCTGAGAAAGGTGGGGGGCACCCGAGCCAACGGTGGCTCACGGCTCCCCCTTTCTCCCCCCCCCCCGCCTCTCCCCTCCCCGCCGGCTGCTCCCGCAGACAAATAACAGAGGAAGGCGAGTCACTCACCGTGGTCTTGACCGGCACGTAAAGCACTTGCTTGGCGCAGCCGCCGCCCCCGCGGACCTCGTCCGGCTGGCCCAGCTGGAAGCCCTTCGATTTGACCCAGAATTTAAATTTGGCATTGTCCGTGGAGCTCGACTCGGAGCCGTTGAGGAGCTGGACGATCCGCTCGTATTTTTTACGGGTCACCGTCTTGGTCTTGCCTGAGTCCCCGTAAGTCCTGAGGCACCAGTCCTGGAACTGGCGGTACATGTCGCGCTCGCTCTCCATGTTCCCCGCTCCCGGCCGCCGGCCGGATGCTCCCAGCGCACTTCGCACCTGTTCACCCCGGGCTCATGAAAAATGCAGCCCCGGCCACGATGTAGGGACGCGAGGTCCCGGCCGCCGCCGGAGCCTGCCTCGGGTTGGGGGGCGGGGGGGTGGGGGGGGACGGGGAGAGGGGAGGAGGGTCCGGCTGGGCACCAGCAATCAATGCCCTGTGCTACCAAGTCTCTGGTTCATTCGTAATTGCAACGGATGTCTCGGACGCTTGTCTCGGACGCTTTTCCTCGTCCTCTTGGTGATGGGTCTCTTTAATATTGTGTGACTAGGACCATCCCAACAGCATCTGGCCCGGAGGACCGGGGTTTTAAATAATTAAAATCCCATTCCTTGGTTTATTAAAAAAAAAAATCCCAATATTGACTTGGGGTGGTCCCTGGACGCCTCGCCCCGGGGCTGTGTCCGGGGCAGGGCAGGTGGAGCGCTGCGCCGCCTCCCCGCGCGCGCCCCAGAAGCTTCCCCAGCCGCTGGCCCCACCGTCCAGGAGGCGAGCGCTGCGCCTCTCTCGAAAGCAGCCTCCGGGGCCGAGCGCCTGCGAGCGCCTGCGAGCGCCTGCGAGCCCCGCAGGGAGGGCACCCAGGTCCCCGGGCTCTCCTTCCTCCAGGGTCCCGTTCCGCTTCGGCCTTCCCTGCGTGGGGCGTCCAGGGACTAGAAAGAGAGAAAGTTCTTACCTGTCATGTTGTTAAGCCTATCAAATCCTGCTACACAGGAAACCTTTAAGGTATTTTCTAAAAAAATGGTTTAAAATGTCATTTCTTCATAGGCATGTAGGCTAAATTCCAGCCCTGCAGGTAGGTTCCAGGAGTTAAGTCCCAGAATTAGCAAAACATTCACGGATATTATTTGGCCATAGTTCTATAGGAAAGACTGTGATACCCCCAAACAGATATCCGTTCCAGGGGGGATGTGGGTAAACGAAGGCAGGCCGCTGGCGGCGGGTATCCCGGATAATGATGGGGTCCCCAGACAGGACTCCTCTGGTTTCTGCTGAACTGGGTACAAGGCATAGAAGTAAGTTTATAATGCAGATGCTTAAAACCCTTTGCGTGAGATTAAAATCTAGAGAGAGATGATTTTCCCCTTGCTTGGTTACAGTTTGCAGTACACACAGGAGGTTTCGTATGTCTATTTTCCCCCTGCCACGTCACGGACACCCCTCCACTGCTCAGAGTAGCCAAATATGAGTTCCTCTGGACGATTTTTCTCAAGCAAATGAAATCAGCGGCTCCTCCATTGAGGATTTCCACCCGTTTGTTACAGAGCTGGAAACAGGGGAGTTCCCATCCTCCTCGCGCTGCGATTGCGGCCGCTCCTCTTTATTCTACTCTCTCTGCGGAGGCCCGCGCCCGTCCCGGGAGGCGGCTGTGCCCGAGAGGCGGCCCGACCAGTGCCCCGCGCCGGGTCCGCGTCCCGGCCCACCTTCGCCCCTCGTCGTCGTCTCCCAGACGAAAGCCCCGAATGGGAACGCGGAGTGTTTGTACCCACTGCGCCGCAGCTGGTCCCGGCACTTGCAAAATGGTCAGTGGCTCCCGCTCGGCCAGGCTGAGTGTGTGCGTGTCTGTGAGCAAGGGAGCGAGGGTGTGCGGTGTGCGGGGGGTGCGCTGTGTGTGCGCGCGTCTCCGGGAAGGTCTCGCGGCGGCTGGAGCCGGGACTGACAGCCCGGGCGGAGCGCGAGCAGCTCCACACACTAAACCTCTCGCCTCTCCCCTCACCCCCACCCCTCCCACTCCCCTCTCCTCCCACCCCCCCCCCTCCCTGGCCCCTTCCAAGCTCTCTGATTGGCCAATGGGACAAAAGTTTCTGTGGAGACGGCTGGGCGCTGACGTCACGGGCAGAATTGTCCCATTTAGGGATCCCGGGGGCAGTGCGCATGCTGCAGGCTGCAGGTTAGAGGCAGGAGGAGGTAGCAGCGGGCGCGGCGGCAGCCAGGTGGCGGAAAGGAGCACTCAGCATCCAGGTGGGGGGACGACTCCAGCAGGGTTTCCATGGAGATTCCTCTGGGTCTAGCCTAAAAACAGCAGATCAGCTGACACCATTAGCTCAGGACCTAATTACTGCTTATTGGAGCAACAAATGAGGGAGAGGGCCAGCTGCAAAGGAAGAGTTTCTATCCTCCCCCACCACCCCCCGCACACATACACACGCCATCTCCTCCTTTCTCCCCTCTCGGTCGCTCTTGAGTCCCGGGTGAATTCTCATTAACTTGCAAGATTCCTGCAACAACAGCTACCCCTTCTCTAGAGGCCACCCGGACCGCGTTTATTCTTTTTATTTCTTTCTTTCTTTTGTATTCACACATACACACACGCCAAAAAAAAAAAAAAAAAAAAAAAAAGCTAAAATTGTTGTGCCCAAGATTGCGAATCCGAGAAACCAAGGAGCCGACACCGATGCAAGCACACGAGGGTTTATTAGCAAGCTCGAGCTTGGGTCCAAGTATACCCGACTCGGCGGAGCGGGGACTTGGACCCCGAGGTGGGTTTCAGCTGGGTTTTTATGGGCTGGTCTAGGGGATTTTCACAAGGGGTGGAGGAATTTCTTCATTCCGATATGGGGGCAAAGGGTGGGGGAGTTTCTTAAGCTCTGTCTTCATTCCGATATGGGGAAAGGTGGGGGAGTGTCTTGAGCTCTGTTTTCATTCCGATATGGGACTTTCTGTCAAGGGCGGGCGTTCTGTTTTCATTCCGATATGGGACTTTCTGTCAAGGACGTTCTGCGGTTTTTCCTGTAACTGAAGTAGGGTAAAGTTCAGCTCTTGTTCACAGGGGCCTGAGATGGCTGCCGAAGCTAAGATGGCTGTACTTGTGCTAAAGCTAAACTTGAGGTGGAATGGCCCTAATTTTCTCCGCCTCCACAAAAATAAATCAGTTGTCCTGAGTCCTTGATTTTTTTACCCAGTAAATATTAGACCAGTAGAGAGCTCAGAGAGTCTACTGTCTTAATAGAAGTCACAAGTGAGTGGATCTAATATAAGGGGGAGAGGGAGCAAAAACCACTTTCAATATGTTAAATTAGGTATTTATCTTTAGGCCAGTCATATTTTCAAAAACTTTTCAATATCCTAAACACATATGTGGAATAAACAATTGGACAGAAACATATTTTGAAGCACCCTTGTGTGGTATACCTCACAGGAACACTATTAAAAGTTTACCTGTGGCATCAGAGAGAGAGAGAGAGGGTAATTCCAAGTTGGGAGATCTGGATTGTGCTGTATATTAGTTAAATGTTTCCTAGATGATTTTGGAAGTATATTTGATTCTAGAGTGGTCATTCATTCATTCATTCATTCAGGAGTAAGCTGGTTCATTCTATACAGTTCACTTTCTTATGGTTATAACTTAATTCATGATTTCAGAATTCTTTTTGGTAGCTCTTCCATCTGAAAAGTCATCTCTTCTCTAAGCCTCTTTCAAGTACTTTCAGACAGACCCATAACGCCTTCTTTCCTTGACTACTCAAGTTAAAACCGTCTGTCTCCAAACTCTTCTGGATAAATGTCTTTCAACCATGTTTTTTATCCTTGCTTCATGGTAAGACATATACATTACATTGATGAACAGTGCATTCATACATCTGTACTCCAAAAATGTTATGAAAAAAAGGTATTTGATTACATAGAATACACACTGATAGTTACCCGATATTCTCCTATGATCATTATCACTACTATTTGGTCAAGTGTAGTCCTAACCCAATAAATTTATGAAGCAGCAAAGGATGCCTGGCAACATGTAGTTTGGAAAACATTGTTTTATAGCATATGAACTACACCACTCCTTGTGCCATATTTATAGTTTCACATGAGTATATTTGACTGTTCAAATGGAATTTTGATTGGAAGGCCCTTGAGAGTTTCTATTTTCTTGTTTTTTAAGGAACTCCACCACAATCAACAATGCACATGGTAAGTGCTTAGTAAATAGATACTAAGTTAGTTAATAAAGGAAAGAGAAAGAAAGGAAAGGAAGAAATAAGCAGGAGGCACAATCCTTCACAATTCCTGTTGGCTTTTGCTGGGTGGTATTTGGATGAAGTTGGTTCCCACTTAAGAACATATCAAGGTCTTACCATGTACCATGTTCATTATATTTATGATTATAGTTGGCATTCTGATATATGGAAATTAAAACACTTTTGACATAAAGAACTCCTAGAATATAAGCAAATATGTTACCAACCCTCAGCTGTATTAACTAGATATGGCACGCTAGCAAAAAGATAACACAAAAAATAAGTGATTATAGAAGATGCAGTTTTTTAGAAGGAAAAGATAAATAATTCACTATTGTAAGAATATTCACGCTGGAGTAAAGAAATAGAGTCTTAGGATTTTAAGGGTTAAGATTTTCAGAGCCATGAAGATTCTTTTGCCTCCAATGGAACCTAAAGTGTGCTCTGTTCTATACTTATATTCTTGAGTAATTGTGAAAATCAATTTTCTTTTTTTACCATATCATTCCTACTTAAGATCATAAACACCTGACAAAAATCTAAACTCTGCTTCAGCAACTCACTTCTAGACTCATTTCTCTCCTTTTTACTTGTCTAGAGCCAGGTCTTCCCAGCTCCACCTGGAGAGTCATATTGACCCTTTTCCTTCAGCTATATGATTCATTTGACAGGCTGCCTGGAATTTAACTTGGCATTTCTCCAAGATACTTTTTCAAATTTGCCTCTCTACAGAGCATATCTCCCTCAGAAGTGACTCTTTATCCCCATATCTGAACACCAATTCCCTAATCCCTGCTCGAGGTCCTGCCTGCTATTTATAAGGAGAAGAAATCAGAAAATGTTTTATCAGAAAATAGTTTGATTAAAGATAATCTAAAGTTTCAGCTAAAATCAACATAATTTTGTTATGAAAATAAAAGTTCTTCCCACCTCAGGATCAGTTTGTGTATGACATTTTTAAAAATCTGGAAACTCTTATATTTTAGTATCAGTTACAAATATTTACACAACACCACATATTCATCAGCAAAATGTTATAGTCCAAACAACATATAATTTGTAATCAC